TATATAAATTCAGTATTTTCAGTTCTTTAAATCTGTAAATACCCATAGAGATGGCCAGGATGTCAGGTACAACGTTGAAAGCCTCACTGAGTATAAAATGCTGCAAATGCTGTGATAGCAAATTCCCCTTTTGCTTGAGCTTATTGATTGCCATTCCATTCACCTAAACTGTTTATGAGGTATGTTTTGAGCCTCACTGCTCTTTTTAACCCCTTTCTCTCCCCTCTCCACAGTGACCAAGGCTTTCAGAGGGTCTATCCGTGCATTAATATTCTTCCTGCTTTTTGCAAAAGGTCCAAGATAAAGTCAGCAGGGGACTATTTGTTTTATATTATTTCAATAATTTTTAACAACACACAAAGGCATGGAAAAATTGCTAGTTGCTGAAGTTATAGTGGATTCAGACCAAATGAGTTCTGGGTATCATGGAATCTGATTTACTAGTAGGGGTAATTAGTGGAATGTGTGATGCGATACAATACATGTCACGATACTTGGGTCATGATAAGATATTATGACAAAGTGCAATATCACTATATATTGTGATATTTTACCCAGCTATCGAAATAAATGGTATAAAAAAAAAAAAGTTCTGTATATGTGCATCAGAATCCATGTTGTTTAGGGTTTGAGTCAGTACATGTGTTCTACTTACTGCCTCAACTACAGAAATGGTGCAGATAGCCTTCACTCAAACTGTATTACACCTCTTTTTTAAGAATCAAATCTCTTCTGGAGTCTCAACTTATTATGACCTATATTTGATATTATTTTAAGTTTCTTTCACAACCTAAAGTAGCCAAAAGTAGAAAACAGCCTCAGTCCTGAAGGAAAGTACTACGTTCTAAGACAGAGTGAGCTCTGCCATTTGAGAAGGTCAATAAAGAAAATATAAAATATTTACGGCAACTCTGGGTGGATCAGCAGTTCAGTATTTTTTTATTTGCATTCACATAGTAAATGTTTTTGAACTGTCATCCAAACAACGGCCTGAAACAAGAAATATTAATCTCCCTCCATATAATCAAAGTTCAGAGAAGTGTGAAATAATATTGCTGGGTGGAATCTCCACATAGTAACTCAAAAAGAAAAATCTATTTATGTAATTAAGACCTTATTCAACTATGGAAAAAAACAAGTCAAAACTTTTATTAAAGTTAATAATCTTTAACAGAGATATCTTAAATATGGATATATACATCTAGTCACATATGAAAGCCTTTATTTTTGAAAGTTGTATTAATATTCAGCAAACCACAAGTAAGGATTGATCCACAAATTAGTATTTATGAGATTTATTTCATTTTGACTTTCTTTCTCACTGTTGGTGAGATAAGCTTGGAACATCATGCAGCCCTTTTTAATTCAGTTGCCAAACTCACCCAGAGCCATAGCTCTGTTGAACCTTCCATCCCACCTGCTCTTAGCAGTAATGATTTTATGGGATTCTTTATAAACAAGATTGATTTGTCAAAAATAAGATCATAGCCACCCCTCTACAGTAAATATGATTGGTTTATCTCTGGAAGGTGAGGCAGCATCTGAGGTAACCATAGAGTCTGAACAGGGTTTGGACTGTTTTTGTCTACTTGAGCCTTCAGAGTTAGCAAAACTATTATTATCATGCAAACCTTCAACATGTACATTAGATCTAATTAAGTTATTTAGGGAAGTATTCCCTCTATTTCCACCTCCATTTTAGATGTGATTAATCTATCCATATTAAAAGGACATTTAAGAAATAATAAATATAAATTTGTGATAAAATAAAAAATAAATGTGAAAAAAAAATTGAGAAAAAGTAGTTTCGTTAAAATATAATTTATTTTCTGCTGAATGAATGTTCTCAAACTAAAAGGTAGATTAGGCGCGAGATTACACAACATATATATATATATATATATATATATATATATATATATATATATATATATATATATATATATATATATATATTTCACAAACAAATTGATTGGGAAATGTGTTTTGACCAAATCCTTTAATAAGTAAATTATGAAGTTCTTTAGCTGACCTTAATATTGCACTCTGACAGCTAATGATAATTTGTTATGTGGTAATAAAGGGAAAGTACTTTAGCACAAAAATATCAAATCTACCTTAAAAAATATGAGTAACCTATCATCAAACCAAATCTTTTTATTTCCCGCCTCATGGTTCTCCTTTAAGCTATGAGGCAGTATAAGTCCTGAGCAAATCCTTTCAGGCAGTCAAAAGCCTCCAGAGTCTGTCAGGTGGTGATGGACATCTGCATGTAGGGTGAGATGCAAAACAAAGCCCACACAAACCCTTAAAGCGCCTGACAGGAGTTTACTGTTGAGTAAGACAAATGTTGGATCCGAAGCCTGATTTACAAAGATAACATCTCTATAATTAGGCAAAGCTGCAACTGATTTTATAAATGTTCTTTCAGTTTGTAAATACCACACTAATAGAAAAAAAGAAGCCATGACCTGAAGTCAGAGAGTAATTATATTGACTGAGACATTAGACTGATGTCCTCTATATGACCTAAAAATTAAACTCTGACATCAAACTTTGACCACTGCTTTCATAGAACCAGAAACTCCTTTATATCTGTGGTTCAATACATGTTTATTCTTGATTAAATTTAGCGGTATTACAACTAGAACCTCAAATTCTGGAGACTGCTATGCGTGACCTTTAAGATCCTTGATATAAGCTATCAGTGTCATGTTTGTGTTTTGCTGAGGGCCCAAATTAAGGATGGCTTAAGTATGGTGTAAAACCTGAACCAATTTGCCTGGAATGGACAGGAAAACACAGAGCGTAAACAACAGAGAATACTGTAGGACATGGAATAACTGAACCAAGGAGTATCTGTACTGTGGACTTTTATTTATGGATGCTACTTATCTGGATGAATTACCAGATGGGGAACAGCTAATAAAGACCAAAACAATGAGGCAATGAGGTTTAACGCTATCAAATTGCAAAAATGGTCTAAAAATTTGTAAAGATGTGTAATAAGGGTATTAACACTTAATTTGAGAAGGTAAATAAGATTATCTGCCAATCGCATGAGTATTTTTTACCCTTGGAATAAGATAATTAGGCATTATGCAATTCAATTAAGACTGTACAGTTTATTTTCTTATGTTAAATGTAAATTGCCTTATTTAATGGGCAAAGAGTATCACTTACTTACTTAATTAAAGAAAAAAATCACTTATTTTAAGAGAAAAGTTACTTATTTAGATTTCAGTTTTTTTTGCAGTGCATATAAAAACAGTAATAAAATAAAACATCCTGAGATCAATATGTGGCTAAAAATCCTAAAAGAGATTTTTTTGCCAAGCAGCTGCAAGTCATTTCCAAGATCATAGCATAAACCCTATGACCCAATGCTTGTCCATTTTTTCTTACAGTCTCCCAGCAACAGGCCTATATAGACAATATACAGCTGTCTTTGCGTCTGCAGGTGGGAGCCCTGTAAAAATGAAGTGTGGGGAGCCTCATCCATCCATGCAGGATGGCAAGTGTGCACAATGGTTGTGCCAAATGCACCACAATAAAATAGTTAGAGCTCTACCAGCCCTGTGGAACCACAGTTAGTCTGACATGAGTCCAACAAGACAGGATCTTTTTCAAATTTTGTGATGACAAATCTGCACCATGGGCACCATTTGCATTCGGGCAGACTTGAATGCCATGTTTTAATCTTACGATATTATTGCAAAGATTAAAAGAAGTCACTGCTAAGATTTGGTTGTTGGAACCTCAATGATTATATTTTTATTACCCCAATGTGTTCCAGCTGAAGTATGATGAAATGGCACTCTGTAATAAACAAACAATAAAATCATATGTCTCCCTTGTGTCCTTGTCAAAATGCTGAGAACGGGCTGCTTCTTTGCATGAGGCAACATATTTCACTGTTGTTCAGTCAACGCTTCAACTCAAGGGACCTGAGAAAAGAATAATTGTATTATTATAAAGTAATTGCTTCTGAATAATGACAGTCCTTGAGATCTAGACAGGGAGGCGTTTCTTTTCTGTGTATTGTGTTGAAAGTCATTGAAGTTCAAAATGTTCGAATCAAACCGTTTTGAGTTTTGGTATTATTTCAAAAATACTTAAGCACTGACAAACTACTTTAAAGGTACCAGTTCAAATGCCTGTTTATATAAA